TTCTTCCGAGCTTTCCCTTTTGCCTCCCTGCATTGTGCCTACATATGCAAATTAACCGCCATCTTTTTTGGCAGTTAACCGCCATCTTGGCTGGTGATTAATTTGCATATCTCACTAATTAGCCAATGAAAAGGGTAGCGGTCGTACGCCAATTACCATGTTTCTCTTTTATTAGTGTAGATATAATAAAAGAGAAACATGTAAATTAACCATCCCTCTGCTACACTCACCAGCCAATCAGAGTGAGTATGCAAATTAACCTCATCGCCTCCATGGAGACTGACAGCAGGTAGGAGGCAGCTCCCAGCACGGCCTGCTTGGCCGTTGCCGTGGCAACCCAGGAGCAGGGAAGCGCGGCCCACAGGCAGCTCCCAGCACCACCCGCTTGGTCGTCGTGGTGACCAACCCAGGAGCAGGGAAGTGTGGCCCTCAGGCAGCTCCCAGCATGGCTGGCTTGGCCATTGCTGTGGCGACCGGGGAGCAGGCAAATGTGGCCCACAGGCAGCACCCAGCACAGCCTGTTTGGCAGTCACTGTGGTGTGGAACAGGCAGGCCCTGCAGAGAGCAGAGAACCATGGGAGCGGGCCTAAGCCGCCAGTAGGACATCCCCTGAGGGCTCCCAGATTGGAGAGGGTGCAGGTCAGGCTGAGGGACACCCCCCCCCCCGCATGAATTTCGTGCACCGGGCCCCTACTATAGTATAAGAGGTGCAATGGAATGCTACATAATCTGCAGCTTGTTTATCAATGTCACCAAATGACTGTGGAGAGCAATCATAACTGACATATAGCCAATATAGGTGGCAATTAAATATGATTTTACTTTTAGGCAAAAATATTCTTGAGGTTTTGTAAAACTTGGGATACATGTGAGGGTGATGATTGTCACATGGGAGACTATCATCAGTGAAGTGCTGTGATGTAAAAAATTGTTGAGAACCCCAAGCTAATAGTTTATGATGACCAGAGGAGTGCACCCTGGGCTTCAGAGTCAGACTAGTACCCTGGACTTCGAGAAACTTTTATAAAAAGTTCAAGGAAAACAGTTCTTGACCCATGACTTGAGTCTCAAAAGGGATTATGGCTACCAAAGGGAGATTAAAAAACAACCACAACAAAACTTCTAGTTGAATAATTGAGAAATAATTCAAATGAAATGGGAGGCAGCTCAGGAAAGTTGAATGGCTGTCTAGTAATCTAAAATTTCATATGTATGTATAAAAGATACAAAGAAGGGAGAGTAACCAAGGATGAATGTAGAAATCTATTATAAAAGTGTCAAATTAAGCCTCTCAATAAATGGAGGATAAAGAAAACAATAAAGTTGACAAGGAACTGTAAGGCATGGGTTTTTTTTTAGTCAAAAAGAAGGAAATAATAAGTGTACTGCTTAGAGATGATAACAGAAAGCATATTAGAGAAGTAGCAGAATCATTCAACTCCTATTTTTTTCCTTCTCTTTTCTAGATATGTTTTTAAGCTGAATATAGAAAAAATACTATGAAAAGTGGTAATTTTAAGTCCAAAATAGATGAGAGATTAGTAAACTAGCACCAAGATGTTTAAAATGAGGCCAGATGAATTAGGTACCAGGGTGGTAACAGAATTTTCATCCATAATCTCAGAGCTACTCTTTAGTAGTCTTTGAAAAGTCATGGCAAATAGGAGAGATACCACAAGACCAGAGATGGGTAACTTTTATCTTATTTTTGAAGAAGGTAATAGAACCAGAAATTATAGAGAACTTGATTGAGGTTTGCAGGTTTGACAACCGATTGTTAAAAGGCTGGTTTTTGAGCATGCAGAAATGAATGTGATGGTCATTAGCAGCCAACAAATGACAACTAAGGAGAAACTTTGATAAACTAATATGGTTTATTTTTTA